AGGGGTGCGCCGAAATGGAGACCGCATGCGGACCCTGCACTGGGCCTTCGGTGGAGCTCCCTATGGGGCCACGAAACGTGTGAGGGGTGCGCCGAAATGGAGGTGGAACCGCATGCGGACCACTTGGACCTATGGGGCCACGAACGTGTGAGGGGTGCGCCGAAATGGAGGTGGAACCGCATGCGGACCCTGACACTTGGGCCTTCGGTGGAGCTCCCTATGGGGCCACGAAACGTGTGAGGGGTGCGCCGAAATGGAGGTGGAACCGCATGCGGACCCTGACACTTGGGCCTTCGGTGGAGCTCCCTATGGGGCCACGGAACGTGTGAGGGGTGCGCCGAAATGGAGGTGGAACCGCATGCGGACCTTGCCACTGGGGCCTTCGGTGGAGCTCACTATGGGTCCACGAAACGTGTGGCCATGATGGAGACGGCGATGATGATGACGACGATGGTGATAAGAACGATGATGATGATGATGCTGATGATGACGGTGACGATGACGATGATGATGATGCTGATGATGAGAGGAGGAGGAGGAGGAGGAGGAGGAGGAGGAGGAGAGGAGGAGAGACGCGGGGCACCGTCTCTTCAAAACGAGGACCCAACACCACAGGATGGTTGGGAACAAAGGAGCACCGAAAACCAAAGGGCTGTCGAACTTGAAAAGGACGCTGGAAACCAAAGGGGCGCCGAAAATCAATAGAGAGCCGACAACAAAAGGGCCGACAAACACCAAAAAAGAAACATACCAAAAAAACACTGCCGAAAACCAAAGGAGCGCCGAACAAAAACAAAAAGAGCGCCGAAAACCAAAACGGCGCCGAAAAACCAAAAGAGCGCCGAAAACCAAGAGGGCGCCGAAAACAACGAAGTCGCCGAAAACAACGAGGGCGCCGAGAGCCACAAGGGCACCGAGAACCAAAGGAGCGCCGAAAAACCAAACAGCGCCGAAAACCAAAACGGCGCCGAAAAACCACAGGAGCGCCGAAAACTAAAGGGGCGCCGAAAGCAGCGAGGGCGACGAGAACCACAAATGCACTGAGAACCAAAGGAGCACCGAACACCGAAAGGGCGCCGAAAACCAAAGGAGCGCCGAAAACCAAAGGGATGGCCAAAACCAACAAAGCGCCGAACGCAAAAGGGTGCGCCGAAAAACAATTATTCGCCAGAAACCATAAAGGCACTGAAAATCAAAAGGACACCGAAAACCAAAGGAGCACCGAAAACGACGAGGGCGCCGAAAACCAAAGAGGCGCCGGACACCCGAGGAGAGTCGAAACTAAAAGAAACCGAAAACCCAAGGAGCACCGAAAACAAAAAATGCTGCGCGGAAAACCAAAATGGCGCCGAAAAAACCAAGGCGGCGCCAATAACCAAAGCGGGGCCGAAAACGAAAGGGGCTCCGAAAACAACAGAAGCTCCGAAGACGGACACGGCGCCGAAAACAAACACAGAAAACCAATGGGGCGCTAAAAACCGCAGGAACGCCAGAAACCAAAGGGGCGCCGAAAACCAAAAGAGCGCCGAAAACCAAAGGAGCGCCGAAAACAAACGATGCGCCGAAAGCGCAAAGGCCGCCGAACAACCAAAGACGCGCCGATAACCAAGAGGGCGTCGAAAACCAAAGAGCGCCAAAAACAAAAGGCGCGCAGATAGCCGAAGGGCGCCCAAAACCAAAAGGGGCGCCGAAAAACCAAACAGCGCCGAAAACCAAAACGGCGCCGAAAAACCACAGGAGGGCCGAAAACTAAAGGGGCGCCGAAAGCAGCGAGGGCGCCGAGAACCACAAATGCACCGAGAACCAAAGGAGCACCGAACACCGAAAGGGCGCCGAAAACCAAAGGAGCGCCGAAAACCAAAGGGATGACCAAAACCAACAAAGCGCCGAACGCAAAAGGGTGCGCCGAAAACCAACTTTGCGTCAGAAACCATCGAAAAAAGGCAATGAAAATCAAAAGGACACCGAAAACCAAAGGAGCACCGAAAACGACGAGGGCGCCGAAAACCAAAGAAGCGCCGGACACCCCAGAGGCGTCGAAAACTAAAAGAAACACCACAAACCCAAGGAACGCCGAAAACCGATGCTGCGCCGAAAACCAAAATGGCGCCGAAAAACCAAGGCGGCGCCAATAACCAAAACAGGCCGAAAACGAAAGGGGCGCCGAAAACAACAGAAGCTCCGAAGACGGACACGGCGCCGAAAACAAACACAGAAAACCAATGGGGCGCCAAAACCGCAGGAACACCAGAAACCAAAGGGGCGCCGAAAACCAAAAGAGCGCCGAAAACCAAAGGAGCGCCGAAAACAAACGATGCGCCGAAAGCCAAAAGGCCGCCGAACAACCAAAGACGCGCCGATAACCAAGAGGGCGTCGAAAACCAAAGAGCGCCAAAAACAAAAGGCGCGCAGATAGCCGAAGGGCGCCCAAAACCAAAAGGGGCGCCGAAAAATCAAACAGCGCGGAAAACCAGAACGGCGCCGAAAACTCAAGGGGCGTCGAAAACCAACAGGGTGCCGAAAACCAAGAGGGCGCCGAAAACCAAAGGAGCGCCAGGAACACAAGAGGGCCCCGAAAACCAACGACATGCCAGAAAACCAAAAAAAAGCGTCGACCACCAAAACCACATGAGCGCCGAAAACCAAAGTGGCGCCGAAAACCAAAGAGACATCGAAATCCACAAGTACGCAGTAAAACCAACGAGGCTTCGAACACTCCCTTCAGCCAGGTCCCTCCGGCTGGAAAAAACAACAGAAGCGAAAAGGATTGGGGGGTAGCCTCCAAGCCCCCCCCCCCTTTAGCCAGGGACCCCCCAGCTACACAATTCAAACAGAAGGATGGGGGTAACTTCGGAAGCTCCCCCCCCTTTGAAAGGGGAGCCCAGGCTGATCCCGGGCCCCGTAAAGGGGGGGAAGAGGGGGTAGCTTCCAAGCCCCCCCTCTCCTTTAGCCAGGGTCCCCCAGCAAAAAAAATGCCCACACAAGGGGGGGGAGCGGGGGGGGAGCTTTGGAAGCCCCCCCCACTTTCCAAGAGAGGGGGGGGTAGCTTGAAGTTGGGGCAACCCTTTGAGTGAGAAATAGGCCACTAGCGCGCTCTTTCATAGAGACATTCATTCATACATACATGCGTACATGTACATATGCATGGATACATGCAAGCATGCAAACATGCATCCCTGCATGCACTCACATATGCGTACACATATACGTGCATCCGCATCACACATACGTGCATGCACGAATGCATAACACGTACATTCATGCATACATATATCCGTATATACATACAAGTTTCTAATCATACAAACGTAAAATGCATACAGGCAGACAGTCAAGCATATAATAATACAGACATGCAGACATACCTATAGACATGTCTGCATACACTGGCACGCCTATATCATATGTACATTTATATATGATTTGGCATGTATGGATATATGTGTGGCATGTGAATGAAATATGTGTGTATGATTAGGCTTGCATGGATACATGTGTGTGTCAATTGAATGATCATAGAACGACACTAACGGACCTTGTCATCTTCATCACAACGTCCTCTCCTCCATCTCGCTCTATTCATGGCCAGTACCTCGACACGAGGGCCCCTGCGGTGCTGTCCTCCAATGGCCAAGCAGCGACTAGAAACAAAACTAGGCCTCTGGGGAACTCAAGGCCGAAACGAAATAAGTATACGTCCACAGCACAAAGAGACCAGCTGGCCCCACCACTGCGATGACCCCGATACTAATTTCCCATTGGGCTTGAAATGGATCCCACCAGCCCTCTGGGCGTAAGTGGTCTGAGAAGCTCGTGTTGCTACCCCCCTTTTCCTTTTCCGGGGAGGGGGATCCCCCTCCCACCAGCCCCTTCCCATGGGTCTGGACCCCCCGTGGCGAAGTGTCAGAGGGTCCTCTTTGGCCCCGGGTGGCCCCCTCTCAGAGGCCAAGATGAACTCCAAGATCGCTCAATATACCCCGAAATGATCCAAGATAGCCTCAACCACGCCTCCACGAGCCATCAAGATCGCTCCAGGACGGACCCAAGTGTCCTCCGAGGCCCCAAGTAGCCCAAAATCCTTCAACAGCATTGCGATTGTCGATGGATTGTGCATTCTCGCCTGTTCTCTTCCGATGGGCTCTGGAGGCCTCAAGATGGCTCCAGGATGCCCCAAGAGGTGCCCAGGATGGCTCCAAGGCGGCCCCAAGAGTGCCCAAGAGCGTCTAAGACCGCCCCAAGAGCGGCCAAAGAGTACCCCCACAGGCGATTTGCCGGGGCCCGACAAGAAGGCGTCTTTGAATACCCCCTTGTTTTTGAACGATGGCTTCTAAGATGCAAGAGGGCCTCAAGAAAGCCCAAAGTGAGCCCCAAGAGCGCCCCGACAGATCCCCAAGATGGCCCAAGAGGGTCCCAAGAGGGACCAAAGCGGCCTTCAAGATGCTCCAATAGCAAAAGGTCTGCAAAGGTCTTGATGGTCGACTCTACGTCGACGTCGGCATCGGCATCGGCATCGGCGTCGGTGACGGCGTCAGCGTCGGCATCGGCGTCGGCGTCAGCGTCAGCATCGTCATCGGCGGCGTCGTCGCCGCCGTCTCCGCCGTCGTCGTCGTTGTTGTCGCCGCCGCCCTCGTCGCCGCCGCCGTCGTCATCCCGCGCTTTCTGCGGCTGCCTTGGTTGAGTGTTTGCATGCCGTCCCTCCCAGCTTGCTAGATGACCAGCGCGCGCAGCGCGCTCTAAGCAACGCACGCACGGCTAGCAACGACAGGTCACCACTCTACCAAGGCGGCCCCGGGCACGCACGACGTAGTACAGGCAGCGCAGGCAACGACAGGCAACCACTCAACCAGGGCGCTACACATCCCTGATCAGGGCAACTCGCCTGGTGTCTGTTTTGGGATAGGCTGGTGAGAATACGTGAAGCGTCAAGAGCTCCTCATCCTCTGCCTTCTCCTGCAGCTGGACTGTCCGAAAGACAGACACGCTCTTGCGCGCCCGCGGGCCTTGCCGGCTATCGTCACCATTGTTCTCTTCGGGCCAGACCCAGGCGGCCCAGAGCTTTTGGGCATCGTGATCTCGACCTTGAGATTGTCCTGAAGGGGGGCAGAAACGCGCGGTGAGTCCGTGCCGGGTGCTTCGTCCCGCGACGTCCCTGCGGGCAGAATGGCGTTAGCGGTCAGATGGGACGCGATGCGATGTGAGCAAAAACACAACATGATAGCACCCCAGAACAACAATCAGTTTAAGACTGTTCGCTCTCACCTTCTCTCGTCCCATTCAACATGTGTCCAAAACCTTAGATACAAGCCCACTTCGTCTTCGTTCGTACCCCACATTTGGGGAATAGTTTCCCTACCTGCCGCGTGTAGTTGGCGTAGCCGCTCAAACAGGGGAAAGCGGTCGGATCGGCCACTTCGAGCGAACAAGACTGGAGCCTTCAAACATCGACGGTCGGGGCGGACTCCTGCCCCGCTCGTGCGGCACAGGGGCCCACCCCAACCGAAGTGCCCAGGGGAAGAAGGGGACGAGGGAAGAGACAAGGGGGAGGGACAAGGACGGAACACAAGAGAGATTTGCAGGAGGAGGGTCAAGCGGCAGAACCAGACGGACGGACCGGGCGGGCGGACATTCAGACATGCGGTAACAACAACAACGACAATAACAACCACAACAACAACAACAACAACAACAACAACAACAACAACAACAATTACTAGCACGTGGGGACACTCCGTTCTCACCAGTGCCAGGGTTTTCATAGGAGGCGGGCAAACAACAACAACCACAACAACAACAACAACAACAACAGCAATAACAACAACAACAACAACAACAACAACAACATCAACAACAACAACAACAACAACAATTACTAGCACGTGGGGACACTCCGTTCTCACCAGTGCCAGGGTTTTCATAGGAGGCGGGCAATACCCCCACTTTGTGGGGGGGCCGGTTCAAGCTCTACCAAATTTCCAAACGACTCTTCGCCACCACCCACACCCAGCTTCCCGCCCTATGACGTTCGGACACTTCACTTCGTGGCATGCGGACGACCGTGGCTACTATTCAGGGCCCCGCGGCCGACGACGACGGCGTGCGCGCGCGAAGAAAAAACGAATGTGTCCCGCATGGTATTATTTGACAGGGATGATGGCCCTGGCAGGTGCGCAACCGTTGTTGCAGAAGTTCGAAAAAGTTGCTCGCAAAAGCCCGTTTGACAGAAATGATTAAAAAGTGTTGGGTTTCCTACGAATCCGCAAGAGCGCGCGGGATGAAATTTTGACATTTTTTTTGAAAAACCATTGGTTTTTTGATGTTTTTATGTTAAAATCGCTACGAAAACTAAGGTTTTGGAAGGATTTCGTCTTGCGCGCGCGAATGTCCACTTTACCTTATTTTTTGCAAGGGATTCTTGAAGTTTGGTTATGTTAGAACAAGAAATGTCCACTTTAGCTTATTTTTTGCAAGGGAAAACCGATCGTAACAACACAACCGGATCCGGACCAACCCGTTTTGCCTGAGACTTCCTCACGAAAATGATGAAAATGAGGCTGCGGCCTAGGCGCGGCGGGGGGGTCGTGCACCAGGGGCCCCAACAATAATTATTCTTTAGAAGTAATAATGTTCAACAACAACAACAACAACAACAACAACAACAACAACAACAACGATCACGTTACCCGAATGTTATGTGAATCTGCACGCAGCGTGCATTCATCATGACAGCTCCCCCATCATGGGGGAGCGAATTTGCACAGGGAGTCCGATACTCGCTTGCCCAGATCTTCCGCCCGAGGAGGTCTTGACAACACCTCTTCCGAGGCACTTCAGCACCTCCAGCTTGGATGGCACATCACCTTCGCAATCGCCCTGCCCACGCCTTGCTTCTAGGTATCACTGTATCACCACGCCCGAGTGGACACCCCGAAACGCCTGATGATGAGCCTCACTTTCAAAGGAAATGCAGCCAGCGCCGAGGCGAGGGAGCCAGTGCGGATGTAGGGTGTCCCACCATAGAAATCTCCCAATAATTAAAGTTCACCATGGAGGGAAGCCTCAGATCCTCTAGGAGTCTTGAATAAAAGCTGTGGAACTATTGAGCGGGAGCGTCGTTGTTTGCAGGGTGGCCGCTGGCGGCGCCGAGGCTGGAGCTCTGGTCCTGAGTAAAAAACAAAGAGATATCGAGCGAGAGTACAAACGTTGTAGGAAAGCCGGCTTTCAGCGGCGAGCAACAGCCCCGATCCCGAGTAGAAAAAAGGTATCGAACGGGAGCGTGGCTGTTGTTGGGGAGTCGATTTCGACGCACCCCCGAAACGCCTGAGCTTGAGCCGAATTTCAAAGGGTATGCAGCCCGCGCCTAGGCGATACCATCAAAGCGGATTCAGGGGGTCCAACGATAAGAGTTGCTAGATAAAAAAAAAAAAAAAAAAAAAAAAAAAAAAAAAAAAAAAAAAAAAAAAAAAAAAAAAAAAAAAAAAAAAAAAAAAAAAAAAAAAAAAAAAAAACAGCAGCAGCAGCTAAAACAGGAACAACCATCATTTAAAGACTGTTCGCTCTTAGCCGCCCGCGTGCCAGTCAACACGCGTACGTACCCCAAAAACCTTGATACCCACCCTTTCCGTTTTCGATCGTACCCCCCTTGGGGAATATCTTCCATACCTGTAGCGCGTAATTGGTGCAGCTCCTCAAACGAAGAAGAGAGGACGGATGGCAGGGGGAGGGAGAAGGATAGAGCACGGGATTACCAGAACGGGGGCTAAGAACGGAAAACACGTGGCACAACCAGACGGGCTGACCGGGCGATTCTACCCAAACAGGCGGGTCGGGAAAGTTGGCCCAAGCGGCCAGGTCGAGCAGGCGGGTTGCTGAAGCGTGCGTCCCGCATGAATCGCGGGGTCCCGAGAGATAGCGCGATTCCCAAGTGAATTGCAAGAAAAACCAAAGCGAGAGCACGATTCCTAATCGTCGAGGGCGCGGCGTCTGAATAAATTGCGACGAAGTCCCTCGCGAGAGCGCGATTCCCGCATATATTGTGAGGAAGTCCCGCGCGAGGGCGCGAATTTGAAATGAATGTTTAAGAAATGTGACGAGACAGACGTTGTTGGAGTGTGGGGCCTAACAGTCCAGTTCAGTGACACGAGACTTGTCCTTGTAAAAATCTAGGTGCGAGCCCCAGGAAAAGCACATGGTCACTGGGCAGGGGGGGTCAGCAGAAATCATTCCTTCGAAACGAAAGCTCAATAACAATCTCAAAAACCTATTTAAGACTGTTCGCTCGTATCTGCCCGCGTGCCATTCAACATGTGTTTCCCGAACTCTTGGTACCCGCCCTCTTCGTCTTCGATCGCAGCCCATTCAAGGGTATATTTTTCTTTTATGCAACGTGTATCCTGCGAAGGCACTGGACACGGGAAGAGAGAACGGATGTACGGAAGGGAGAAGGGGCAGGCGGGTTGCTGAACCGTGCATCCTCCATGAATCGCGAGGAAGTCTCTAGCAATATTGCGATTCCCGCATCGATCGTGAGGAAATCCCGAGCGAGAGCGTTGTCGACGGCGCGGCGTCTGAATAAATCGCGAAAAAGGCCCATGTGAGAGCGCGATCCCTATATACATTGTAAGGAGGTCCCGCGCGAGAACGCGAATTGGGAATACATTGCGAAGAAGTATCCAGCGGGAGCCGTTGCTGTTGTGGTTCGGGGCCCAGGAACGACGCTTGGTGAGCATTCACTTCCCCTGGTAAAAAGCAGGGTGCGAGCCCTGGGAGAAACACTTGAACTGAGATCGTACAATGGTTACGGGAGGGGGATATCAACCATATTTGTTATCACGAACGACAACAACAACCACAACAACAATCATTGTAGGAATGTTCGCTCCTATCTGCTCACGTGCCAATAAATACCCTCGGTACCCGCCCTCGTAGTCTTCGATCGTGCCCCCTTGTGGGTATATCTTCCTTACCTGCCACGCAAATTTAGTGCAGCCCCTAAAACAAGGGGAAGAGAGGACGGGTGGAAGGGGGAGGGAGAAGGATGGAGCGCGAGAGAAATTAGCAGAAGTGGGGCAAGGAGCAGAAAACAAGTGGTAGAACCAGAGGGGCAAATCGGGTGGGCGGACACATAGCGGGCAAGTCGGGAAGGCGGGCCCAGGCAACCAGGTCGAGCAGGCGGGTTGCTGAAGCGTGGATCCTGCATGCATCGCGAGGAAGTCTCGAGCGATAGCGCGACTGCCAAGAAACAATTCGATAAAGCCAACAACGAATGCGTGATTCCTGAGCGCCGAGGGCGCATCGTCTGAATAATTTGCGAGAAAAGTCCCACGCGAGGGCACGATTTCTACATACATTGTGGGGACGTCCCGCGCAAAAGCGCGATTCCCCAATAAATTGCGAAAAATATCAGTCGGGAACCGTCGTTGTTATAGTTTGGGTGCCAGCAACGCAATTTGAGGAAGACTTTCCGTTATAAAAAAACGGGTGCGAGCCCCAGGAGGGGCACTTAAATAGGAGAAAAACATATATACATATATATATATATATATATATATGTGTGTGTGTGTGTGTTACCCGAGGGGGGGATCAACAATAGTTATTCCTCAGACATGAGAGCTCAACAACAACAGCAACAGCAACCGCAACACCAAGCACAACAACAACGACAACGACAACGACAACAACAACAACAACGACAACAACCATCATTTAAACAATGTTCGCTCTTACCTGCTCGCGTGTCATTACTCAACACGTTTCTCCCGAACCAGCAACGACGCTTGGTGAACATCCACTCTCCCTGTTGAAAAACATGGTGCGAGCCCCGGGAGAAACACTTGAACTGAGAACCTACAATGGTTACGGGAGGGGGATATCAACCATATTGTTATCAAGAACGACAACAACAACCACAACAACCACAACAACAATCATTGTAGGACTGGTCGTTCCTATCTGCTCACGTGCCAATCAATACCCTCGGTACCCGCCCTCGTCGTCTTCGATCGTGCCCCCTTGGGGGTATATCTTCCCTACCTGCCACGTGCATTGAGTGCAGCCCCTAAAACAAGGGGAAGAGAGGACGGGTGGAAGGGGGAGGGAGAAGGATGGAGCACGAGAGAAATTAGCAGAAGGGGGACAAGAAGCAGGAAACAAGTGGTAGAACCAGACGCGCAGATCGAGCGGGCGGACACATAGCGGGCAAGTCGGGAAGGCGGGCCCAGGCAACCAGGTCGAGCAGGCGGGTTGCTGAAGCGTGGATCCTGCATGAATCGCGAGGAAGTCTCGAGCGATAGCGCGACTTCCAAGGAAAAGTCGATAAAGCCAACAACGAATGCGTGATTCCTAAGCGCCGAGGGCGCATCGCCTGAATAAATTACGAAAAGTCCCACGCGAGAGCGCGATTTCTACATACATTGTGGGGACGTCCCGCGCAAAAGCGCGATTCTCCGATAAAGTGCGAGAAGTATCAGGCGGGAACCGTTTTCGTTATAGTTGAGGTGCCAACAACGCAATTTGAGAAGGAAGACTTTCCGTGATAAAAAACTGGGTGCGAGCCCCAGGAGGGGCACTTGAATTTGAGAAAAACATATATGTGACCGGAGGGGGGGTCAACAATAGTTATTCCTCAGAAGTGAAAAGTCAACAACAACAACAACAACCACAACAACAAACACAACAACAACGACAACGACAACGACAACGACAACAACAACAACGACAACAACCATCATTTAAATAATGTTCGCTCTTACCTGCTAGCGTGCCATTCAACACGTTTCTCCCGAACCTTCGGTATCCGCCCTCTTCGTCTTCACTCGTACCCCCGTTGTGGCAGATTCGTCCTTACCATCCGCTTGAAATTGGTGCAGCTCCTCAAACAGAAGAAACGAGGACGGAAGGCATGGGAAGGGAGAAGGTTGGAGCACGGGATTACGAACCGAAAAACATGTGGCAGAACCGAATAGGCAAATCGGGCGGTTATACCCAAACGGGCGGGTCGGGAAGGCGGGCCCAAGCGGCCGGGTCGAGAAGGCGGGTAGCTGAAGCGTGCGTCCTGCATGAGTTGCGAGGAGTCTCGAGCGATGGGACGATTCCCAAGTAAATCGTGAGACAGGCCGAAGCGAGAGCATGATTCCTGAGTGTCGAAGGTGAATAAATTGCGACGAAGTCCCACGCGAGAGCGCGATTCCTGCATGCATTGTGAGGAGGTCCTGCGCGAGAGCGGGATTTTGCAATACAATGGGAGGAATTATGGGTCGTCCGAAGCCCAACAACCCAATTTGGTGACAACCAGCTTCCCCGAATAAAAAACAAGCTGCCGCGGAGGCTGCGCGGCAGGCCCAGCAGCTCGCAGGCCTCTGGCCCACGAGCGGTCCAGCAGCTGCTCCCAGCGCAGGCTCTCAGAGCCGCGTCGTGGCGCCAAGCCTCGTCCGGCGTCGCCAGTGCAAGCTGGAGGTAGTGATGGCTGGCGTTGCGCGCGTACGTCACCAAGAGCGCCCCCCTCCCAGAAGCTCCTGGAAGAGAGCCTCCCTCCCTGCCCTGCCTCCCCTCCTCCTGTGCCCTTCCCACCCTCCCCCAACCGGCACACGAGATGAGGCGCGGCTTCCTTGATTGCCCGAATGATGCAGCCCTCCTTGCCGATGAGGTCGGGCAGTGCGTTGGTGGGCACCTCGTGAGCAAGCAGGCTGGAGAAGCGGGAGGAGAAGGAAAGCTGGAAGCTGAAAGAGGAGGCAAGCCCAGAAGGATAACAATGCAACCATCGGAACTCCCCACAGAATAACCGTTTTGATTGGGTCCCGCGATCCCTGGAAAGTAATAGCATTGGCGATCGGGATCGCGCTCCCAAGCGGCCTCCCTAAGGGGAGGAAACGCGAAAAATCTGTGTGGTCGCGGTCAACGATAGAACACGTCCCACTCCTTGAGCAAATGCCACAATCCGGATGAGCAAATGCCACTATCCGGACCAAGACTCCATTGCAAGATGCTCAAATAGGCGACCCAAGCCAGCCGCCAGCCGGGATATGAGCTGTCGCTTTTTACGAATCTCCATCACATGTGCCATGTCAGTCGTGGTGGGCCACAGACGTCATATAACATACTAGAAATGGCCATTCGTTCCGCAGGTCAAGAAAGGCAACGCCGAACCTCTCGCCATGGGCGAATCGTGCGGGAGGAATGGAAATGCGAAACCAACAGGCACTCAGCAGCAAATCACAGTACCGCCAAGTACGCACCAGCACCCGTCCTGGCCCCCCGGGTCAGGGAGAGTGACAAGCAGGCAGCTCTGGACGGCGAGAAGAGCGGAGTGGCAAGCTCAGCAAAGTCGCCAGCCCTGGCAAAAAGCCCATTGACCCCTCCAGGCGCCACGGACCCTGACCCAAAGTCCTTGATCCAGTAGATGGAGAGCGGAGCCGACGCTCCAAACGGTCTACAAAAAAAAAGGCAAGGGTGAACAAGGGAAACGCAATAATCAAGGGATATCGAAGCAATGTAGAGAAGACGGCAGGGCACTGAGATTCGAACAAACGCACCAGTGAAGTGATGAAGGAATGGAAGGGTAACAGGCGAAGGCTTAATGGAGCCACGGGATCAACTGACACACGGCGGAAGTACGCAAATGAACTATGGGAAATGACAAGTCGTCTTGATGTGATACGTCAGACGTCTAAGCAAACGGCGCGTGGCCCCAGTCAGAGATTTTTGTCCGTCCTGAAGATGCAGACAATCAAACATCGAATCAGGCGAATGGCCAGCTAAACGAAGGGACACTGAAGGACTGAAGACTGGGTACAGAAAATTCAAGCACAATCGAAAGCAAAGCTGAAAGACAATGCAAAAAAAGGTAGGCTGCGGGCCAGCTAGAGACAAGCCCCAAGCATGCTGAGGCACGCTGAAGGCAAGATGAAAGCGAAGTCAAGGGGATCCACAAGTTTCCCGAGAAGCGGGGCGCAGGCGTGCGCGCAGGAAGGCTTCGACTCCGCCAGGCAAATCGAGTCCTGATCCAGGAAGAATGGAGTCAACCCGCGCTGTACCCAAAATGGCGCCCGATTGATGTGTTCAATCCCAGCACGTGTCATCAAGATCAGCCTCGGGGGGCGTATTTTTTCCCCGGGGCCATCAACATGTATGTAACGAACAACTAAACCAAAACAAGGATACGAGACTTCAGAGGGCCGCGGATTGAAAAAAAAACACATCGGAAGCCTGAACATGTTGACCACGCAATGTAAAGGTAGAGACTGAACGACCTATCTAGGCCCCTGCGGTAAAACCTGTCCCGACAATGGAGATGGCGTGTAGCGCCTCAGCGCTGGGTGGATTGATAGAGCTGGATGTTAGCAGATGCCGTGTAACAAGTGAGCGGATTAAGTATGTCGGAATGTGGGAAGTTACGGGTCAGCTTGCCAAAAACATGACGGGCTTCGCAGTGAACGTGCTGTGCGAATCAGCCCTCTGGCAAGCAATGCGAAACCCTCAGACAGCCGCAGAGAAAGTGGGGAAGGAGGGCAGAGAGAGAGGGCGACAGAGAGATAGAGAGATAGAGAGACAGACAGACATACAGACAGACTGACAGACAGGAAGACAGACAGACAGACAGACAGTCAGACAGACAATCAGACAGAAAGACAGACAGACACAGGTGAGAGCAAGATCGCTGAGAGTACTGACCTTGACGGCGTCGCTCTTGAAGTTCTCATACGACAAGGAAGTGAATCCCCTGGCAAGCAACTCCTACAAGATGGCACGACGGGATGTACAGACGCTGACAGGGCAGGCAGGAGAAGACACAGGAAACAAGACTGGCGGATCCTCTCAATCATCGCCGCTCTGCCGCAACAACTGTCCTCGATCCTCCGCCGTGCGTTCGGCACGTTGAGACGTGTTAGAATGCCAGTTAGCTATCGGGTAGGTCTTAAAGACTTCCAACAAGCCCTAAAAGAGAACTCCGGTGGGCACAACTGTCATGAAGAGCGGAAATGAACGCGGAGATGAGGGAGCAGGCTGCGCGAGTGAAGAAAGCAAGGCCACATCCCAGCCAAATCTTAGGTGGCGCGACAAGCGGCCGAGGCTGCAAGGAACGCACCGAGCATGTGCGGAGTAGGAGGGGAGCAGCGGGGGGGGGGGGGGGGAGACGGGAGGGAAAGAGGAGAACTGAGGGGGAAGGAGGAAGGAGTGAGGGTGGGAGAGGAGTGAGGAGGCCGGAGGGACAAGGAGGTGACACGGTGGAGGGAGGAGCAGGACGAGAACTAGCAGAGGAGGAGGAGGAAGTACAGGACGATGACGAGAGAAAGGTAGGAACACTGATGAGGACCCTAGTCGAAAATCATCGCACGAACACATCGGCGAGCCCGACTGAGTCCACGCTCGGATCCCCCAAACTTCCGGGGGATCGGTTTGCAAAGCCCGTACGCCACGGAAGGTCCCGATCCTATCCCCGACCTTTCGCTCTGGATTTCTTTTCAGATGGCCCGAATGCCCAAAAACGACCGCCGGAAACCAAAATGCATGGGAAACGCCAAGACTGGGAAAATCAGTCCGCCCGAGGACCAGGTCTTGCCATGTATCCGATCATGGGTATGAGAAGGTCTCCAGACCCTCCCTGAGACTGGTCTTTCACCCCAAGCACTATTTCGACGAGCGTGGGGGCCTCGAAGAAGAACACGTTGAAATAAATATCTGTTGTTTTTTTCGCGACGTGAGGGGGTCTGGGCATATACAGCACTGTCTGTGCAGCCAACACGCGGTCCTCAACGGCCGTCTTGGCCTGCGCGACGTTCTCCGGCTTGCCCTCGATGCGCAAGATGCCGCCTGGGCGTGCGGGCGCAGTCGTCGTGGTCGTCTTGGTCGTCGTCGTCGGCGTCGGCGGCGGCGACGTCGCCTCTACTCGAAAACACCCCCCGTTGGACCTGCGGTAGCAGCAGCAAAAGGAACCAGAAACACAAACAAAAACACTCCAGATACATGTACGTTAGGAGGCCTCAAGCCGAAGAATCCACGCGGACCTCGAACAGAACAAATCAGCCTGGCGAAACACCCAACCATCTCCAGTGGCGAGAACAGTTGTTGTGAGTATCGCCTTCGGTGGAGCTCCAGAGGGCCACAGAAACGCGTGAGTTGTGTGCCGAAATCGGTGGGGCTGCCGCTTGCAAACTGCGCCACTGGGGCCTTCAGTAGAAATCTTTATAGGGCCACGAAACGTGTGAGGGATGTGCCGAAATACATGGCAGGAGCTCATGCGAACTGAGCCACTGGGACCGTCGGTGGAGCTCCCTGTAGAACCACGAAAATGCAAGGGGTGTGCCGAAATCGGTGGCGGGACCGCATCTGGACTGCGCCATTGGGGCCTTCGGTGGAGCTCCCTGTGGGGCCACGAAACGCGTGAGGGGTGTGCCGAAATGGGAAGTCGTCGAAGCGGCAAAGGCGAGGAGGAGGGACCAAGCTTGCGGTTCAGACGCCATCCCGCGAGACTTCTGGAAGGATATTTGTTGCCGAGTCGCCGGCACGAGCTTGGGCCATCGCCTTGTGTTACAAATGCTGGGAAGACGGCGAGATCCCAAACAACTGACACGAGTCCTTACCATCTTCAAGAAGGGCGACGCGTCCCGTCTCTACGCGAGGAATACAAGCATATCTGGAGCCTGCTTGTTTTCCCAGGGCGAAAAGGGCATGATCGGGAAAGGGGACACGTCGCCTGATCACGTCATGGCGGGGCCGTGCCAGGAGCGCCGAAGCATGCCCGCGAACACCGCGCTATGCCTGCGAGCCGTAAAATTATAATAGTCTGCGATGCGACGCCACGAAGTGCCTGAAATCGCCGAGCTGCGTGCAGCAATAATTGCGAGCCACGAAAACCTGCGAACACAGGCAATATGTCTGTGAGCACCACAGCGGCCCGCGAGCGAGGCCACGTGCCTGCGGGCACAGCATTGCGCTTGCGTCTGGGAATGCCTAGGGACACGTAAGGACAGATAGCAATGGGTTGTAAGAATGGCCCTGCTAGGATTGAGTCGGCGCATTGTATGGGATTGCTGCCAGCAGCCACGAATAGCAACATTGTGCCTGCGCGCGCCAAAAACAGCGTGTACACCAAGGGTAGTTATGAGACTGCATGTGTGTGTACCACAGCGTTGGCGTACATCCCAGGCCATGTTTTCACAGCACTGCCTGTGTAAACCACCACATCTGTGTACATGACAACAAACGCGTACATGCAAGAGCTTCTGCAAGCGCCTCAAAGCCCGTGTACACCAGCAGAATCCCGACGGGGCCCACACTCCAAAACATCAGGATGGGCCCGAACCTATCAGTGTAATGTTGTACATTACTTGTGGTAATTAAACTGTGTGGCCGTCCCTGGACGTTGGTCCCGCAGTGCCTGCGTGCACCACGACGCATGTGTAGAACACGATGTTTGTGCAACTACAGCAGCCGCGTGCACACCAGCCCCTGGTGCCTGGCGCACGCGACCACCAAAGTGCGTGTATACACCACGAAGCCCGTGTACGCCCTCAAGGTCCCGATGGGGCCCAAGCTCCAGAAATGCGTGGTGGGCCCGAACCTATCAAATTCAATGCGCAGGTGGCGTTCTCCAAACACTGCTTGCACTTAGGAGTTCGTCTGATGTGCTGTATTATGGAAGTGGCTGGGTAACCAAAAAATGATTGTGGCCGCCGCACCGTGGCCGCCCGTGGCCGCCCAACGTAGCTTGCATCACATGTCTTGTACCACACAGCTTACACCGCATGGAGTGCAACACGTAGGCTGCACCATGGAAGCGAAACACATGGCTTACACCATACAGCTTGCACCATACATAGTGCACCTCCTAGCTGGAACCACTACTCTTGCACCATTGCACCACACAGCTTACGCCACATAGCTTGCGCATCCACAATACAACAATTTACATATTACTACAGAATTTGCTGGGCGTCAAGAATGACCATGGTCCCACCCGTGGCCGCATCGTGCGCTCGGTGTGTCCGGCACGGGTTTGCCATATTGCCAACCGTGGCCTCGTCGTGGCCGTCTGGTCCGCCAGTGGTCACATCGTGGCCGCCTCGTGCGCTGGGTGGGTCCGTCGGGGTTTGGCCAAACTGCCGCCCGTGGCCGCTTCCACCTTGCACCACGCATGCTGCGCCGCATACCGATGTTTCGCCACGTCGCCGCCTGTGGCCGCCTCGTGGCCGCCTCTAGGTTCCCACAATATAGCTGACACCGCATAGA